AATGAAATGATTAACCTGTTGCAGTTGTATTCTATCAGTTGTCACTAATTACAACTATCATTTACCAAAAATCAGCTATCACTATGAACCACTACTAACCAGATTTACTTGGAGGCCGTCGTCACTTGTGGTGTATGGTCTGCACCGCACAATTTCTGGCTTTTTGAAGGGGAGGGTACTTTTCTGTGCTATCGCAAGATTCGTGGGCATACTATAGGACTCCTATGTATGATGCGAATACAATCATTCCTCGCCCACTAATGGTAAGCCTTCACGGGGGAACAGAATCCTGGATCCTTTCCTCCACTGCCTGAGGCTGACCATTCTGTTATGATGAACTAATCGCAGAGGTTGAGGACTTGATTTGGCTTATTTATTTGAGACATACATGCGAACCACTTATTTGCGCATGTGATAGCGTCGCCCTGCACGTGAACACGAATGTATTTTTTCAGCATCGATCTGAACGCAGCGGACACGGGTGTACAACCAAAACAGAATTTGCCACGTGCGGCGGCTAGTGCAGGACAAGAGAAGAAGGATTGCAATTGTTAATAGCAGAGATCGTATCATATGCACGACTGTTTCGTGCGTAACCACATTCCCTATGTGGTGGCGAGTTACACGTTTGGTGAGGTGACGTATGTTCTTATATTGTTTCGGTTTCATTCTTATTCCCCACTATCGCATAGTGGTGTTTTAATGACAGACGGAATGTACTAGTGATGACTGTTTAGATACTGTATAACTATAACCTCCTCTCCCGTTATGTTTTTCATCGCCTCGTGAGAATATCTGTAGATAGTGCGCTTCTCTGTCTTCAAGGCCATTAAATCATCGAACATAGCGTCGAAAATGGTGTACCCGATGCTATCTTCTAAGCATATGTTCTCGCCTTCGCATAATGGTTGTGAGCATGTGAGTGTATATCGAGAAGCGTTTTTTCGCTGATAGGCCTCACTAATGTTAAGCACTGTTCCTACGGTATGTCAGTTTGGTGTGGTCCAAAAACTATGTCTGACCGTTTCCTTTCAACCAGTGAAATTAGCCCTTCAAAATCTCATCTATGTAATAACTACTAGATCTTTTACAATGTGATATTCTTCTTTTCCTTAAATTATTGATGATTTTTACTTGAAAGTACATATATAAAGATTCAATGAATAGCCGGCTTTCTGTGTACTGTTTTGTTTATTTATTTATTTTCATACGTCTAAGCGACATGCCAGCCCAAAAGGGGCGTAATAAATTAACGAAGCAAAGCCGGGAAAGAAGGAGGGCAAAGAACGACAAGGAAAACTAGAACAAAAAACAAAAAGACCGCAAAGATCAACTCGAAATAAGTCTTAGGTAGGACATTCGGAGTTATAACGGTGCACGGCACCCATGTTCATTCACAATCGCGAATAGATTCTTCTTCCGAGCTCCTGGTTTATCAGGTATATCCCTTCACGGGCTTGTGTTGATGGTACATCCACACACCGCGATAAAATTGCCGAGGTGTTGGCTGCGCCGTTGCATGGATTCACTGCTTTTTGAGATGGGGTTGGAATAGGAGTAGGTGCTGTTTTTGGAGTTAATGTTTGGTGTTATTAAAGGCAGGTGTTACAATGAACTGTATGCTGAAGAAGGGTAAATGGGCCTACTGCGAAGGGAAGTTGGGCTCCCAACGGGAACAAAACATACCTCTTTCGGGGGCGAAGAGAGAGTTCTTAGCGGGTTAACGAGGCCTTACCGGAACCTTTGGACGGCTCATCCCTCTGTTCGCCAAGCGACTGGACCCTCGCCGTCGGTCTGCACCGTCTTAGAAGAGAGATAGAGCAAGGGATTCACTTTGATACGTCAGCACTGGCTCGACTGAAACGGAATCTAACGGTGAAAACAGAAATCCCGTTTTGCGGATTTTAGGCCATTTTCTTCAATTTTTTTCACTACTGTACCTGTTAGCAGTTCTAGTTTCGTTCCCAGCAGGAGACCTATTTATCCTCCCACTTGCCTTCAGGTATGACTGCTACGATAGAAATTCAGCTTTTCAAATTGCTGGCATAGCTGAAATTCATTGAAGCGTCCCGACCGCGAACCAATATTTTCGCGGAAGCAATGGGATAGGTAGGCGTAGCAATAGCCTCGCCTCATCCGTCTTAAGACGTGTATTCTATATGCTACGTAACAGTCAGAGTTATGGATGGCTGGCTATCCGTTTTTCGACGCGACCCAATTAACTTAGATACATACATTGCTTACCCACACGCAATCGCAATTCATGAGTATCTTCACTCTCTTGCAATTATGAGTGGTTTTCTACCGAAAGACAGTGTCCAAGGAGTAGTACTGGACAGGTAGACATCCCTTTTTGTCCTACTGCTGTCCTGTTACCAACGTTTTAAATACTTCTTCATTTGACCTCAACTTGAGTCCATGTAAATGTGAGAGATGAATGACTTGCACAGTACGGATGAGGTAATGAAGATGAAAGGATGAATGTCATACTGCCCAACGAAAGATTAATATGATAATAGATAAATAAAATAAGTTATGTCAACGTGCCAATATGCATTCTATAACGAAATAGCTATGCAAATCTGGTTCTACCAAAGAGTTCTGTTCCGCGAAAGGCTATATTTCATAAATCACCGCATGCGGGATCAGTGAAGTCATAGCCTTAGCTCATAGGGTTAAGAAGCACCCAGCTTAAGAAGTTTTAGATTTAGAGACAGAGCACGAATTGATTTATCCCAGACTAAGGGAGCCCTAAGAACTTCTATTTGACAGCTGAAAAGTGGTCAGGATTTTTCAATACAATGCATCCGAAAGCACAGAAAGGAACCCAAAAAAGTCAATAACCCCGTCCACAAGTAACGACTCTGCCCAAGACGAATGCCGAAACCAAGTTCCGCAGTTTTTTTTTATCATCAGAATGGCATCTACACTTCATGTCTCTGTAGAAGTTTAACTTCTTCTAACGGCGACCCTGTCTTTAATGGGTGCCTATTTTGGGAAAATTTGCCCATTTCCGAGTAGCATCATAAAGATACGTTTCCCCATTAACTAATACATATTGAAGAAACAATGGGCGCTATAGGAGAAAAGATGAAACAGTTGAACATGGAAAGAGGCACATAAGACATGAACGGTGATGATACAAGTAACTAGCATAAAATCGCTACTAGATAGCGCTTTAACATACCAAATCAAATGATGTAAAATCGATTCAATGTAAGTTCAACGTTGCAATCAATGTAAGTGGAAAAGTTAAAGAAAGAGAGAATGTAGAAGCATCAACAATCACTAATGTAATTAATATTCAATGAAAGCTGAAACGACAATGGTGAAAGCGAGGCCGCTGACGATACCTAAAGAATTTGGGATGCATTGATTGCAAACACCTAACATGACACTAATATAATAAAAAAATCGCTCAACTATAGCTACGACATGAAAATGATAGGATTATATAAGTTGAATGGCTTACCGAATATCAAGAAGAAACCAGCCATCATACTGACAACACGACCCTTTGATGGTTCGACGACCCTGAGCGGAACGGTATTAATTCACAAACGATGTTTTTTGAGACAGATTTGAAGGTGATCGAAGCATGTGATATTTGGTAATCATATATTTGAAATGTAAAAAATGTCAAACTGTCGACATTCCAATAAAATAATTCCCGAAATAGGTAAAAATCTGTTACAGCTCATCTATTATCTTACATGTCCCCTTTTACGTGCTTCTTCATGTTAGTGCACGAGTTCTTGGTGCAGAGCTATTAATACCAATAGGGCATTACTCGTTTATTCTGTGTTATACTAACACTGCTGTGTTTACCGATGGCGCACCTTGAGTGCATGATAAGTAAACAAATAAATAAATAACAAATCTATAGCTGAGCTAGACCATGTGAAACATCTAGATAAGTTCGAGAAATCGACCGCAATCAGATTTTACAGTCAGTGTGCTCACAGGCGTGCATCGTGGAAGGAACAAATATGGAAAACCGTTTGCAAGATCAATTAAAGCCTATCGAATTTCGATTTCGAAAGCAATCATATCCCGCAGCCGCAAAAAGCTCACTTTTAAGAACTTGCTTCCTATGTCTTTTAATAGGCTCGAAGCAGAAATGTGAATTTTCGTAATATAAATTCAAATGGAGCATATGACACTTAATACGACTTTGAAAAATAACTCACTTGGGCGCGTACATCATCGCCAACCCGCTCAAGTATCCACTGGATATACTCATGATTACACCCATGAATATGTACAACCACGTGCTTGGGAAAAGAACAGCCCACGTTCTGAACACGAAGAGTTAGTGATTTAAAAAAGACTAGCTTGTACTCAATAAAACAAGGAAAGTGACGGTCGTTTTGCGAAGAGCAGCATCTGAAGACCCAGAACTCAAACACATTTCAGTTTTTCCAAATCAGGTTTCAATGTACCAAAGTTCAGAGCTTTCACAAAACGTCTCCACTAGAATTTGACCCATAGTTATCGATAAAATAATACACATGTGAAGTATTAATAATATTCGGAGCATGGAATTCACCTTGTGAGCGGTCGATAGTTGCAGAAGGCAAAGAATGGGATGAAGAGGAGACGAGGGTAGACGACCATCCAAAGGCGCTCAGGACTTGGCTGAAAGAATGAGCTTGGAATTAAGCAGATTAAAACGAGATAAATAAACCAACATATTGGTAGCGTCCCGCTAACATAGAACCAATGAACGCAAATACGTTGAAGAGCAGGAAACACGTGATTGGAACGAAATATCTCTCTGAAAAAAAAACCTCGCGTAAGCTAGAAAAGGCCGTAAAAGTGGAAAAAACCGCTAAAAGGACAGTGCTCAGATGAAATGTTGCCAAAAAGTTGGCAAAATACTGATATAACACGGAGCAGAACCGCGACAAGGACGGCGTTTGCTACTTTTCATCTGAAACCATCAAATCCCACAGGCCCCAATGGGATTATTGGGTTTTCGGAGGATAGGCTCACACAACGAGGAAATTTTGAGAACGAGGCGCTATCGCAGCATACTGGGACAACTTCTGAACAGATTTTTAACGCGGCTTCATGTGGCCGCAGCAATAACGCCGAGAAAACAAGCACTGAGGAGGCAACGCCATGGTCAATATTCAGAGGAAAGTATTACTTGGCAGCGTGTTTTCAAATGATCTCGGACATCTAATACTTTTGATGCAGAAGCACCCCAAGCGGTGTGTAACGGGTGTTTTGGCAATTTCTCTTGACTTCCACTTTATAGCCTGTTATCGGTAACGGTATAGGTTCTTGTTAAAAGGTGAAGAAACATGACGACATGCAACCAACGTACCTGGTAATACAAAAGCATACTTCTGGCCTACCAATTCATCACGTACATCTACCATAATTCCAGGGAAGATAGAGAGACTCACAAAGAACACCAAATAAACGTTAATCATTTGGGGCCATCCCTGCAATATAAAGTATAACATTTAGAACTTTCTTTGTAATAAAGCTAAAAACTCACTTGTTTGAAGGCGTCAAGGTAATCGCGAGCGGTGAGGCCTGGCTTTGATTCAGTACCCTCACTTTGACGTGCCAACATGGCACGCTTAGAGTAGTATTGGTAAAACGGCTAAATATAGTGACCATAATCAACGCAGATGTATGTAGAGAAGCGCCAAAAGCAGCACAGACCTGTCTTTTAAGAAGGAAGAATGAGGAAAAACAGATGCCCAGGGTGAGAAGTGAGATGCCAAAGTAAGCAAATGCTGCATTGGCAGTGTTTTTCGAGACTGAAATAAACAAAATATGTAACAAACAAACAACATCTGCGGCAAACTTTCTTTAGGCCGAGCCTAGTAGACCTTATATTCAACCCTACCATTTCCTTGTATTGATATCAACCCATAATTTCTGCAGTTACTAGCACTTTATTATGATACTATTACTCATTGCTTTGTTTATATCAGTTTCTCCTCTGTGAGGGAGTTCCCATATTCCCGAGGACGCTGTCGTTGAGGAAAAGCGGGACGAAACGTTGACTGAAGTACTTCATCGCAGCCTACTCAGAGTAACCCACAACCTCGCCACCCTCCGCCCTCTCCTCACCTTGTATGTGTTATGATGTCAATAGCGTCTCTGCGTCTTTGTAGCTGGTCAAGCTTTCCAAATTTCTCAACCGAGAAGAGTGGGAGGAGATGGATATAGCATTGCTAAAACGGGACGAAAATTACCAAAATTCCCAAAACTTCTACAAATTTCAGGTTTTTCACATCCCAAAAAATTCATTTCCCTATGGCATCCACCTTGATGAAATACGACCTCATCCGACTAAGCCTATGAAGGTTGACGGGAGGTTTAGCTCTAAAAATATCGTCATTTTCTAACGATAACCTGCACCTTTTTTCCCAACAAATCAACGTCCCAGCTGGAACCTCAGAGAAGAGAATGAGCAGGTGATAATCAAATGACAAAGGGAAATGCACGATTGTCTATAATGCACTATGAATGGTGATGAAGGGGTTGATTAAATACATCAAGGGACTGCTTTGCACTTTTCCCAAGCTCGAATAAGAATGTGAATAGTACAAATCTAGCGAAAGAGATGACAATATACCAGGAGATGAAATGCGGTAGATGTACGCGTATATGGTAGGGGTGGTGGTAAATGGTAGGGATGGTAGGAGTTTTGTAAATCCACGACACAAACTCAACCGAGGCTATCCATAACTGGTCCGGGCCATTTTGAGGTAGGGGGAGCTGAGAGGGAATAACAAATCCCTTGATTCGCCTCCACGGCCGATACAAAAACACTAGCTTGTAGATCTCCACTAAGGCACGTTCACTTTCTGCACCACAAGAATATTCGAAGAAAGAAATTAGAGGACTCGAAAAGACAAAGGCAAAAAGTCAACTTGAAAAATTACTGTTAAAGCTCACCGAAAGCAGTGATAATGTTGACGACAGTCACGAATGTTCCACAAAGATTATTCCCAATGATGACAGCATTTGTGAACTTGAACGGGAAATCGGATGCCAGACCGAATATACTGAAGATTGAAACGGTTAATAATTTAAAGGCATTATTCACTGCTGATTAAAAACCTGTTTTGGTAGATGCCATTGGCTCCATTCAGAAGCACAATTGATAACAGTGTGATAGCGAAGAATGTGCCCATCCCTGAATGAAAAAAGTATGAGTACGTCATGGAAACCATTTCTCAACATCTCAAAACTTTTTGGAACAGCATTTCGGGAAGGATTATTCTAGCCTAACTGGGTTTTTGGTAAAAATTTTAGTAAACAAATGAAGTCATGATCGCAAGGTAGGGGAGTACCCCCTAAGGCTAAGTCTAGAGGGGGAGGAACTCCAAGAAAAATGAACATCGCTCAGGCATCCTGGAATCTCTTCTCCCCTTCGAAATTTAGTACTGTTTTAAGAAGTGATATGTTCTACGTGTCTGAAATGCACTGCTACCACAATGAACCCTGTCTCTTGCGATCAAGCCCAAATCAGTTTTTGAGCTACTTGCTATGCCTGGCCCCTTGAAAGGTACAGATGGTTAATTTTGGTGATAACAAATCTGCTCTCTTGAAAATTAGCTGTTTTGATGGAAAAACCTTCAACTCAGGATAATCGGATTGTTCGGAAACAAGCCAAGGATTCAACTATCACGACTGGGTAACTGATAAGAGATCATGTGATGTTCTTTGTGGAATGATAATCTTAAGGAAGAAAAGCTGCCTACATTTCCACGTGTCGACGTAGACGAAACTCATAGTGAATATTATCATTGCACCAACGATAAGCAGCGAGAGAGAAATTCGTTTTGTTAGATCTCCTCTGAAAAATTATAAATTATTAGAGTAAATATATGCAGTCACTCCAACGGGCCGTGATTACAGTATCGCTTGAAGAACTCCAATGACGGAGAAAAGATGATGTGAGTCATCTGCGCGTACTCTTATACTATGCCGCAGCTGCATATTTGAATCTTTTTCAGAAGGTCTTCACGACAAAGTTCGGGCTTTGAATTTGAACAAAGGTACGGAAAGGCGCTTGAGCCTATGTTAGGCCTCCTTCATGCTCAACATTCATGGAGATTAGAAGACTCAGCTGAGAAAATTATATCTCTATGGACTGGAAAATTGGTGCATGTAAATAGAAGTAGGTTAGATTCCCGGTCAAACCAACTTCCACGTTCTAACCTTTTCAGCTGAACCTTCAAATCTTCTATTGTCCCAATCAATTCATATCTTTCTTGTTTGTTCCTGATCTCATAATCTCCGGACGAACGACCTATTCCTCCTTCGGTTGCAACGATTAGGTCTGCAGGAAGACCCATGGACAACCGATCCAATCGACTCTTCCAGGTCTAACCCCGGACCCAACCGGAGCGCAAACGTTTAGGTCAAGTAAAGAAATGATACAAATGCGTGCTATTCATTCGAAGGCCACGATGAGTCATACCAGAAGAAGAAACAAAAGAGCAGGAAAGGGCAAGGCGTAGCATTTGAGCACGCCATTTGATAACTCGTGGCTAAGCAGAAACCTCATGTCCGCTCCTGATGATTCCCCCTAGGCCGATGTCAGACTTTGCGAATCGCGCGATTCGCTAGCGTCCGCGGTCGCGTTGCGGTACCAGCCAATTGAGTGATTCACTGGCCGCGACGCGACCGCAGACGCTAGCGAATCGCGCGATTCGCAAAGTCTGACATCGGCCTAGTGACACTTACGGCTTGTTACCAATTTCTATTGCGGAAATGCAATGGTAGTTGTTACATGACGATGAACACGATTTCTACTTACTTGACAGTGACGAAGATGTTAATGAAGTTAAGAAGTAAGTTGGGAATTTGTGAAGCAATCGCGAGATAGTTGAGGAAGTTGGCCGAGTAGACAGTGGCATGTGCAGTGCCATTTTCATCGAATGTCTTCATCTTGTAGTTAGTATAATACTAAAATACTCTGATAAAACTTATCCACCAGGATTTCACCATTTCATAGGTATAAAAGTATGTGATAAGCATCGTAGAGAAAAAGGTTTGGAGAAAATGAACTAAATATAGTAGCCAAGTGAAACAATATCGCTATTCCTCAAAGTTTCATTTTCATTCCACGTTAAATGCGCTTTTTACATATTAAGATTTGTACTCGTGTTGAATATATTTATGCACTATGCTGACTGGAATGTTCGCGACAATTTTTGCAAATATTTGAGAAATGAACGAAGCCGGAATTTTCTACCCGAAGTGGGTTACTTGTCGATATCCCACTCCCAGAAGTGTTGTGGCTGGAACTCAAAGCAGTCGTAGAATTCTCGACCGTCACCCACTCTGACTACTGATGGCTTTAATGAAAAAGGAACAGTTTGAGAAATAGAAAGTAACTGAGAGTTGGAAGTATGGGCTCTCTTTCAGCAAGGGGGAGGGGCGCACCATAGCGGCAGCAGTTAGGTCAGCTCCAAGTTAATTTAAGTTTTCGTAAGGGAAAAGCATCGGGGTGCGTGTGGAAGTGAAATCGACACGGTTTACGCATCCCAGAGATTCGTTATTTGTGAGAAATTGGGTTGCCTTAGGCCGATGTCAGACTTTGCGAATCGCGCGATTCGCTAGCGTCTGCGGTCGCGTCGCGGCCAGTGAATCACTCAATTGGCTGGTACCGCAACGCGACCGCGGACGCTAGCGAATCGCGCGATTCGCAAAGTCTGACATCGGCCTTAGGCGGCATTAGTCACTACGCCAAATGCCCCTCCTACTGGAAGAGGCAAAAATTTATTTAACTTACATCAGGAGCGATGGTGATGAACATGTTCCATGGCATTAACGAACCGACTCCATGAAGCAATATGATGAGATAGACGAGGTTGCCGGTGTCCTGAACGTCTTGCTCAACAGACGACATCGTTCAAACTAACAGCTAACGTGGATAGGAACGTGATCCGCTCTTATCCACATCCCCGTAATCGGTTTCAATACGGACTAATAGCCATTAGTTTAATGAAACGAACACCAAAAAAGGTTTTACGTACTTTCGGTGCCTCGTCATCAGGATTGCTGGGGATTTGAATGAATGGCGCTGCTTCATCGGAAAGTTGTCGCTCCTGATCGGAATCCGCTGAAAGTTTGGAAATAATGGCGACTCACGTAGCCCTTTGATCCCGACAATGAAATCTATGAAAAGCAAGAAAATAACCGGAAGCAAGACGAATTCAAAAAGCAGTTCAAGAAAAGGCCTCGGAAGCGCTCAAATTTTTCCCGCCAGTTCGTTTAGGAACAGTTTGCAGTAGGACGACATCAACCGAAAGGCCTAGTGATTCAGCGTTTTGTAGTGTTCCCTGGGACCTTCCACACATGCACATTATTACAGCATCTCTGCTTTCTTTCCTCCTTTGCTTTTCTGTCTGGATTTTCACGCGTGGACCACTGCTTCGTAACCATAGTTTTCAATTGGGGAGACGGGTGCACTAAGGAAATGGATGACGCCCGCCAATTACTTTCAAATTAAATACTGTAGGTTGCCGCACATCTCGAACTCGTCGCTTGAACCGCGTCAACGTCGCTTCTGGTGTAGTCTGCACTCTCTTGCCTAGATAGCCTTTACCCACAGTGACTTCGCACGTTCCAGAGGCCGTATGTACCGAATTCCCCTCCGAGATTGACTCACCCCCTCTGTGTATCTAATCAGGACCCATCTTGAATATGAAGATTCACCCCGACAGAGGGACGCAAAGGTCTTTGGTAAGGGACGCAGAGGTTAGGGGAACTCCTACGCTCGGGAAGTTGCAGCATACAGTCCCAGCTTTTTACAACATGATGAGAGTTCAAGTAGTCACATACTTCAAGATGTCTGAGTTCACTTCTCCCATATACCACCCCTACCCATTTTTTTGAAGCACAAAAATATGGTATACCTTTTGTGTGTGAAACGTCCATTGTTCCACCAGCTGGACCCCGGTGATCAGTATCTTCCTAAAAGAGCTTATGAGCTGTAACTGAGCTAAACTATGCTGGGCTATGAACGAAGCTTTCACTCCAGGCGAGACTCGAACCCGCATCTCTCGCGTGAAGTGCACCTGCCCGATTGGCGAGAGGTGCGGGTTCGAGTCCCGCTTGGGGCGAACAATTGTATTATAACTCAGATTTAAGGCGAGCTACAACGCCGAAAACAGCAGGTAACAATCAAAACAAGTCAAAATGCTCGTATTAAAATATATAGTCTAATCGTAACTACAATCGACCTAAACAAAAAGCGACAAGCAGCTCTGTGCCCAGATCTTTCAATTTGCGAGAAAAAAAGAATATTGACGGAATAACTCTGCGAATTGCAGATAATAGCATGAAACAGTTAGGACGTTTTGTGAAATGAAAGAAAGGCTATTTAGCGATTTTGAAAAGTCCGACGCAACAACAACTGTGCGAAATGCTTGACGAAAAAAGGCGTGAGCATAATCAATAGTAAACTCATGACGTTTAAATTCCAAACAGACTCCATATCAGGGCTTTTCGATTCCATGCGCTACGAAAATGGTGTCAAAATAGCTCAAAATTCTTTCACATGTGCTTCTACCCCAGCTTTTACCCGAAGTGCAGGCCGCGCACTTAAGACTAGGCAACCGATAGACCTTTGGAGGAAATAAAATTTTAATATATAAAAACTGCGCAATACAGCGATTCAGGT